GCCGGCAGAAGCTGGAAGCCCATGTTACCAGCGTTAGCCATTACCATGGTTTCGTTGCTATAGTAACATTAATGTGTAGAAAGGAGAGCGAGTTAGCTTCCAAGTAACACTGTAGCCAAAACAGATCCGTCTGGCAAAAAGTATGGGAGCCATGCGGGCTGGAGTGCAGCGTAAAGGTGTAACAGGACATACATAGGCACACCCACAGACGATACACGGACAGACAAGGATCGTCCTGCTCTTTTGTAAGCTTTTTCTCTGTCGTAATTTTGTTCCTGTAACGCATTAGGACTATTTTGCTACTAGTATATATGTGACTAACCACTGCGACATAAGTTTGTGGTGTGGTCAGGCATCCGCAGCTTCGGAAGTTGCTTGTTATTGATTGCATAATCGTCACCACCTCTTGTGGACTGATTCCATAGAAAAACAGCAAAGGCCGCTTCGGTCTTCAGCTTAGTTCAGCTACCATCGTCGTCGTCGTTCCGATCTCGGCTCTCCACTGATAGCTCAGTTGGTTGGTTGGTTGGTGGCCGTGGTGATGGCCGTAGACAGCACGGCCGCTTACTTTAGCACTTAGCAAACAGCAAATTGTCGGGCAGACAGGCAAGCAAGCCAGTCAACCGCCCAGCAAAGAAGGAGAATCCAGGCCTGCCTTCCGCAGGCCTGGATTCTCCTTCTTTCCTTGGTGCAGGCGGTGTCGTCTTTGCTCAGCCCGTACCAGCCGGAGGACCGTTCCCGCCAAACCATGCTCCATTGCTAATAGAAGGAGGAAAAAAGGAACAAGAAGTAGCAACGGTAGCTCCCGCTTGGCAGTTTTGCTATCTCGAATCGGTACTCTTGCTGCTATTGTAGGAAGAGTGCGAGTGGAAGGAGGACGAGACCGTGGCCGACAATGACAACGACGACGGCGGCGACTAGGAAAGGGGAATTTTTAATGGAAAAAGTCGACTTTAATGAGATTTTACACTAATGAAAATACACCCGTGTGTCTGACGCTGTGCCACCGGCAGTCGCAGCAGCAGCGGGTGGCGGCAGCGGTGGTGGCCTCCAAAGCTATACGTGTGTAAGGGTGTGGGTCTGTGTGTGTGTTTGTGTGTGTGCGTGTGCGTGACTGTGTATGTGTGTGCGAGTCTGCGTGTTTGTGTATGTGTGTGTGTGCGCGTGTGTGTGTTGGTGTATGTCTTTATGTGAGTACGCCTGCCTGACTGAGTGAGTCTACGCGAGCCAGCGGTCTATCCATGTGTCCGTTCATACGTTCGTTTGTCGGCTGGTCGGTCCTTTTTCCGACGGTCCGTTCCTTCCTTTGTTCACTTGGGTGTTCACTCGTTCTCTGAGCAGCCGGGCCGGGTTAATACAACCGGGTCCCGTCAGACATGGAAAGGCCGTCGCGCAACCATTCCTTTGCTCCATGAGTACGGCAACGACGACGAAAACGATGACTACGACTGGCTGTACGACGGCCAACTACAGCCGTGCTGGCTGCTGCTGGAACGGCGGTTGTGGCACATGCCAGTGCTTTTGGGGAGCAGGGGCTACTGCTTCTGCGAGAAACGTAGAATCAGGAAGAAAAAAACTTGATTTGTTTTAAATTATCCAGACTTCTCCCGTTTCGGCGGGCCTTGCCTGACTACCGCTTACTACTGCCGCTGCAGTAGGCTGATACCATTTTCAGCCTGCTGTTAGTCCTGTTGCAGAATTCGTAGAACGTAGAGCGGTAGCACAGCTCTTGCACACAGGAAAGCCGCTCAGGAAAGGAAGCATTGCTCGCTTGCGCCAGCTAGGTCTAGGGATTGCTGGAGGGGCAGCATCGACGGCTAAGGAATGGGGTTAAAAGGAGCTGCGGAGCGACGCCAGAGCTTCGCTGCTGAAACTTCCTCATGCAGCAGCAAAGCGGTCCACGCCGCCCTGCTGTCTGCTTTCGCTTTCAAGTGTAATTTCAAGCTCGTACAAATGATGTACATCACTAACGTATGTATGTCGTACTAAAAATCAGGCGACACACGACTCGTCACCGCGATACAGGAAGAGTAAAGGGATCAGGGAATTCAGACTAAGCATTGGATTATCTCACTTTGTTTTTGCAAATCGCACTAGTTGACCTTTCTTCCGACCTATCTTAGGTACGATTTCTGTAACATCACATACAGATATTTTTGCTGTTGACGGCAAACTAAAAATCGGTAAGAGTTGTGTAGTAGGTATGTCCAGAAGCAGGACCGAAGATTCATTAGGAACGATAGTGTTTATTAACAAAGCATCACTCGATAAGTGAGCAGAATTCCGTAAGGAAGCACAATGAAAATGAGGGCTTCACTTCATTCAACTCTGATAGGAACGGTATTCTGTGAGCTTTGCTTTGATTCAATAAGAGTATTCTACGACAAGGGTGAACATCTTAAGAATCAATAGCCCGTAAATATGGTATTGCACAGTTTACAGTAGTCATTATATAGTCACACTGCATAATGGGCAGCACAGCTGTTGAGAACAGATTTTATTTACAAGTATTTATATTTTACAATTATGTTCTACATAATTCTATAATTATAATACATATTCTACCCGTATAGTAACCTCTACTAATTAACTTATCCCTAAGCAAGTGACTTTATTTGATCTTACATGGCGGAGTGTTAAATCTATTCGATTTGTTATGGGTTTTGCGACAATAGAGCGCTGATATCTTACACTTCGTGTCGGTTCTACTTGGTGTTTAGGTGAACAGACTTCCATCCGTCTACCCGAACCAAAAACCCCTTAAAGACATTTCATTATACATTATGCATCATTCAGTCATCGTCGTTTCTTGTTTTTCTCATAATTTCGTTACTTATCAATTCTACGGTGTCGTAAGTTCCTCGTTATAATAAAAGATGATCGTATAAGTTCACTTCAGCCGATCAAAATCAAGCACAGTTTTTCTGCATACGACATGAATAAAGTTCTGGAATGGCATATAACAATATAATTAAACTTACTTTTGATATATATATACATTCGTAACCAAGCCGGTTACGTCTTTAATACGTGGAGCCATCAAGCCGTGTTCCCTTGCGCAAGTTTTACTAACTACAATTGCAGATGTGTAAGACAAGTCCAGTGGATTTTTTCGTCTGATCGACTAGATATCGACTCATAGTATATTTAGAATGATCAAAGTATTAGATTGTGACTAAGAAAAACTTTCTATTTTTTATGTAGCATTCGAGCATAGCATCGCGTTTCCTAGACATATACGTTTATCGTGAGCGATATTTTTCAACTTTTATCAGATTATAAAAGGCTAACAAATTACATCTATTAGAACTCCAAGGACAACACTATAAAACCCCAAAAGCAGCGCCAAAAGACAGCGTCGAAGCCAGCCAGCCAGCCAGCCAGCCAGCCAGCCAGCTAGCCTATTCCAGGCGTTCTTCCCTCGTCGTATTTCCCTTGATCAAAGTGAAATCTGTCTATTTACCGGTAGCGTATATGTCGAAAGGCAATGCTTAAATTATGGGAACGCAGTACGACCAGGTAGAGGATATGGGAGAAAGGCACTCTGTAGGAATAGCCAACGGCTTCGTGTGGCTCTTGAACGACCCACTGGCCTGTGACCGCCGGGTAACACTCCGCCAAAATATGCGGACACTGTCGAAACCCAGATAAAACGAACGGAGGATAACATATCAAAATGAGCAGTAGCAGTAGAATCATCACACACGCGCTGCTTCTAACGCGAGATCGCAATCCAGTTAACACTTATCGCCAATAAAGACGCACTCTATTAGGTGCACTTAGCCCTTGTAGATTACTCAAAATTTGACATTGGCATAGAGCAATGCACAATTAGTTGAAACATCGATTTTAAACAGCGACAACTAGCTTAACTCTGTTCTGTTCGGTTCTGCGGTTTCTCGTAGTTGGTGCCTGCCGGCCCAGGCCAATAGTGTTATTCTTAACTGGCACTCCGAGTTCCATCTCCACCATCATTACCAACCCCAGCCCGACGTACAGTCAATTCCCTAGAGCTTTTTCTGCACAGATAATGGTGGTACGCACCTTGGCGTGTCCATGATCGAGCATCATTGAGCGATAGATCAGATAGGCATAGAGTGCTACGGAGACGTATGTAACACAATATAATACGACTCGGTATCGTTGGCAATAGTACTAGTTAGGTAGTACTGTAGGTGGCCGCGTTCTACGAGTGAAGAGGAACAACTGGCTAATAACAAGAGCGAATGATGACATTTAAGCTTTTCTGTCACACTTACTCTGCGTTTCACGTCTGCCTTACGTTAGGCGCTCAATATTCCGATAATGGGACAAATTTCGTCTTCTTCCTGTAAATTAGAATTTAGACTCAAAATTATTCATGCGACCAGACGCACATAAAACGCTGTTGTTTCTCTAATTGTCGGAACTTTTCTTTGTATTTGCTAAACGCTACACATAACAGCTAGTAGTATGAAGGTTCACGGATGATTACCCTTTTTTTTTTTTCATTAAAATAGCTTTCCTCATCGCCATTTGAGCTGCCGGAGCTGTTTTGAAATCGTTTTAGCGTTAAAGGTTTTGATTTATGATTCAAGCGTATTTGCACGTACATCGAATTTGCAGGCCGCCCTTACATGGTCACTCTTCCAGATGGACTATCGCGCACACAGCCATTAGCAACACATAGTATATATATGGAAAATATGCCTATCTGTGTGTGTGTGTGTGTGTCTATATATGATAGAAAAAAACCTTTTAAAAACGCTAGATTCCAATCTATTTCAATGAAGCGATCAAGACGCCGAAATGATTCTCCGGCAACGACAAAGATACCAGGCCAGCCAGCCAGCCAGCCAGCCACCCACCCACGCCTCTGGTCATAGCGACGACCGCAGTGCCAGCCACAATTGGAGCACGGGTAATCGTCGCGGCTGCCAGCGAGCATATAAGGCGAACGAATCCAGCCAACGGGACCGCGCGGAGATTTATCTAGCCATAAACTGTGGTCCGCCTTTAATGGGGTCACTACCGCAAGTGAAATACAACTCGCTTTTAATAGAGTTGTTCTGCATTGCACCTTGTGTGACTGACGTTCGACGTACGTTTTCTAAACGATGTGAAACGTCGACGTCAACGGCGTCGTAATATGTAAAAACTCGCAAACATTCAATTAGAATAGCGGGTATCACACAGATTAGTGCATGGGATACCGCAATAGAACGAGCTTTCCTATTGTTCTCACGCTGGGACGTATCCGTACATGCGCTGCAACGTAGACCTTACCAGTTCCCCAGCCATATCTAGGATTTAAGGTAATGTTTATAGCACAACGATGGATGTAGCTATAAGTCGAGTCACAGTGGAACAGACAACGCAAACACAGTCTGCAAAGTTCGGTCACAATTGTTTAGTTCTACCATAAGCGGGCAAGGATCGTATCAAATGGCTGTCACCTATACATTCACGAGGTTCATGTGTTTCCGTCATGGTTCAGTGCTAACGTGTTTACTCATTACATTTAGGGACACGTGCAATGGCCCAGGTCTCAAATCGTGCGTGGATACACTTCGCTTTATGCCGGAAGGGGCCAGCCACCTGAAGTTATATCCAACAACGAAGTCTGTATGTATTTAGTTAAAATATGTACATGATACTATGTTAGCTAAACACAGTATTATATTAAATAGAAAAATGATTTTGTTCGTTAATACTAAACATGCGTAATCGATCACTTGTGCTCATTAAATATATAACTTTACGACAACACAATGGAGTGTAAAGTAGTCGATGTATTTCTTTTTTTAAAGTCTTAAATAAACTAACATGGGTCGACTGTGCCAGTGTGAATACACCATCCATCCATCCATCCATCCACTGTTTACCTCCACTGATACTTTTTACAGTTCGGATCACGACTGGTTTCACATGGGGATGAGATCACGATCACATCAATTTAGCAGACTTCCGATCGTCTATGTTTAAATGTGCGCTTTTCGTATCATTTATGTCTTATATGGGTTGTTTCTTCGGCGTCCGTGGCTGCTGCTGCTGCTGCTGTTGCTATCCCATCATTAATTTCCAAGATACTCTAAGATGGTCACTTCGTCTGTCTTTCTTTTCTTCTTTGTCATTATTTTATAGTGCTTTGGCTTAGCTCCAGTCAGTGAGCGATGAGGCGATCGAGTCAGGTAAGCGAGCAGGTAGGTGTCGTAGCCCTCCACTTCATTTCGTACAAAAGTTCCTCCGGTTGTTGCCACTCCTGCCACCGCTGCCACAATCCCGTTTCTGTTATGTCTGACTTCGTCAACGCTCCCTTGCTTCTCGTGCTACAAGTTTGCTCTACCGTCCGCTGACGACATCTCCATTGTGTCGGAAAATTGCAACAGATTGTCTCTCTTAGTGACAAATCTATTTAGATAGACGCTTGTCCAACAAGACGACCGCCCGCCCGCCCGCCCGCCCGCCCGCCCGCCTGCCAGACCGTTCTGTCGAGCGCGGCGATCCTCGGCGGGATCCCGTCCAGTGAACTTCGTTTTCGTTTTCAGCTCGCCCGCCTTGTTGTCCATTCGCTTACTGGTGACGTGCATATATTTTATGTCGTTGCTTTTTTATTATGCTGCATAACAGGCAGAACAACAAGCACGTTACAAAAAAAAAAACGCCAGCCACCACTCATAGAACCATAGCTGCAGAAGACTTGTAAGGGAGGGGTTCATAAAACAAACTCGAAACATGGCGGAACATGTTTGCTTTCAATGAAGCATCGTCTAACAGCCGACGCGGCAGCACTAACAGCAGCAACACGACGATCGCCTACCGAGATGAGACATTACTTAAGTTATCGATAACCGTAAGCAACCCGGCATGAAAAATGTGCTAATCTATGGCCTGATGTCGATAACGTTCATACTGTTATGCTATAAAGTGACTGGTACTGGCGATATAGTGTTTAGTATGGCCGGATAGTTTTCCCGTGCCATAGGTCATAAATAGAGGGATAAACTAGGACGGTGACAAACCTATGCGTATTATCTAGCTGTTAAAAAATAAATCCTAATAACTACTATTAATAGCCATATATACATTTTTTTTTCTGTTAAAAAATGATAAAAGTCACACTTGCATTTCGTCGAGCTATGATAAATTGAGCTCTTCTATGCTTTAAAATTGAAAATAGAATACATTCAAAGAGACAAGCTCCAGACCGCTGCGTACGAATTGTAATTGCAGTCGGTGAAAACTGGCCTCAGATATACGCTATAAAAAAATAACGCTTGCGGTTGCGTTGTCCAGAATGCTAACTGGCTTTTTGGGCCACCGTTTTTCCACATGTTTGCTAGCAGAAAGAAGCTCGATGAAATAGGAACGATCGTAACGGGAGAAGCAGCTAGTAGGACTGAGTGGACGACGAAGGGTTATCGAAGATGGCGAAGCTCGGCTAACATTAGTAGTTATAGTAGTATGTTTTGAAATGGTGCCCATAAGCGTGTCTGAGCAAACAATGCATCTGGCGTACATACAGGATAAGCGGAAGCAACGGCACTCGTCGTCGGCAGCAGAATCAGTACTAATTCTAGCAGTGATGACATGACGAGCGTCAGCAAGGGCAATGGCGACTCATCATTGATTCTGGCGTCGTCATAATGATAACCAATAGTAGTCTAGCAGCTGTAGCGGTGCCGATGTCGGCAGTGCAGTTTAACGACTTGTCCGTATCCGATGAAAACGAAGACTGGGGGTCGGCTTGAAGTCGCACAGGCGAAGGGCCACTGAGTGTAACTGGTTAGAACATTGTGAACAGTGCCGGATAGAGAGGCAGTTTGCTGCTGGGGTCGTTCCATGGTGTTCGCTGTCGTTTCTTCAGTAGTTGTTGTCATCCGCGTCGGGAGCGGCGGCAAAAACAACACAAAGGTAATGATAAGCGAATTATAGAAATGACTAAGTCATTGCTTCGTTGCTCGAGATTTGGTCGCTGTTAAATGTGGGTTGGTGTTCATGACGCTTAAAGCGGTTCTACTAGTGGCGTTGCTTCTGCCGTAGTAAAGTCGCGAGGGGTGCTTACCGCTTCTGCCCTAAACGCAGCAGTAGCTGATACTTGATGTTAACAGCAAATGGATATAGTGCGAGAGTAACTGACAGAAGGCGGCGGTAGAAGCAGCCGGTAGTTTGTCGTCTCCCGCTCACTCATTCAGTTACTGGACAATGGATGACGACGCTGGTAAAGCTTCTAAGAAAATATGTATTTTTTTAACTCTCCGCCGTTTATTTGTCCCTTTCCCACACCGCCGCCCTACTACAATACACTGTTCTTTTTTGTCATTCCCGACTCCCGCGATCTACCTTTGGAGTCATCTCACTGTGCTGTGATGATTTCTATCTTCGCAGAGTCAATACGAACGTATATGGTAGCGGCGGTCACACCTGGACAAACATACACGGGAATCGTTCACAAATCAAGAGGAAGGTAATAGGACAATAATTCAATTGCCGCTATAGCAATATATTAACCGTACTAGTAGTACTAGCTTTAATCGTTGTAACAGCCTGAACAGAAATGCTGCTAGTACCAATGTCATGGCTTGAAATAATCAATAACAACAGCGCAAAACGGTAGTGGCGGCGGTAGCAACAATAGCCGAAAAACAGGGGTCATCATAGGGATCCTGTAAAAACACGCCACCGCGGTCACCAGAACCCCATTGCAGTTACATCCACCGTTTTGTCTCTCTGTCACTCTCACCACTGCCATCACCGCCGAAGCAATGAACAGCGACGCTGAGTTCAATAATGGCCGCATAGTATCAGCTCGGCTACGTTGGCACCACCGTAAAAGTAGTTGCGTAGTGAATATATTAAAAAATCGCGCACGCGCGCTACTTCGTCAACGTTCGGCCTGTGCGTACTGGAATACTGAAAAACAGCATCAGTAAAAAGGACTTGAGCTCAGAGAAAGTGACAGCAGTCCTGCTAGTAATGACAGTACATAAGGGGATCTAATGAGAAGTTGTAAAAAAATCTTGTTATCGTTGCTTTTGCTGCTGCTGCTGCTGCTGTCATTGCGGAGACAGCGGTGGCCTCTTTATCATTTGTAGCATTTCAAACTAGCGCAAACGAGGTACGACCAAGTGGAAATGCTCATTGGGAATCATTGAAAAGGATACGAGCAACAGCAGAAGCCTTAGACCACGCGAAGATGAGCAAACTGGACGAAGGAGCATGGGGGGTGAGGGTTCTGATGAGAGCATTATCTGTCTGCTGTATTGTTCGTGGCGATTGACCGCCCCGTGACTGCCATTTGATTGTCTCTCATCTGTTCGAGACATAATCACGATGAAATAAAATAATAAAACAACAAAGGACGAATCAAGCAACGATAACGCCGGCTGTCGAGCCAACGCCAAACGTCCGAAATGAATGGCAAAGGACAGTCAGCGAGCCATTGCGAACATAGGGCCGTTCGACATCTTAAGGACCTCCGTGCTAACGTTTCGCGTCGCTTCTTTATTGTAAAAGTTGAAGAAACATGAGAAAAAGAAAATGAAGACCACGATTCATCTACAAGATGGAGATAAAGGAGATACTCAAAGAAAATGAATATCGAAGCACCTTACTTCAGCTTGGTCGAGCGAACGGCATCGCAGCCGTCGAACGGAATACGCGGACGTTCGATATCGATGTTGTCATAAAGCGCACCGTCTGGTCGTCGAATATGAACGACAGGTCAAACGAAATTTGTCGTAGAGATGCCTATTATTTTTTTACAAGGTGCTAGGGACCAATTGGGGCGAGATCGGCGCGGCCTGTTTATAAGTTTGATCTATATAAAACCAGATATTTAAATGACGATTATTGCATATGCCGATAGTTACACTTCTGATAGACTTGTTCATTTGTTTTAATTGCCGTTGATTTCGATTAAGGACCAGAACTGGTCACGATCCATTTTAAGAATTTTTTTTTTCCCTAATTTGATGAGTGTATTTTCGGCAGTAACCCAAAGGGAAGCAAGATTGACACGTTTAGGCCCGCTGAAGTACCACTTTAAATACGCCGCACACAAAAAATATAGTGGACTATATTTTAAGCTAGTAGCCAATAAAAAAGTGAACGAAAATTCAAAGGGCCGTAAGGCCCAAAAGTCCAACTGTTGAGGCTTATCTGGAAGACCAAATCAGCGATCGATACTCTTAAAAAGAGCCGCTCATTTCAGCGCCAAAATTCCCAAATCATTAAAATTTTGTTGTAAAGCCTTTTTGATCTCCTTTTAGATCTTTTTAAGATCTCCAAACTTATTCATTATGGTGGCCTCAGGAAAATTTCTTTCGTGTTTTTTGAAAGCTACATGGAGAGTGGCAACAACGCCGATCAGCGATGCCGGATGGCCAATAAGTGTATAATCACGGTTAAGATTCATCCGGTCGGAAAGTATTGTACAAGAAATGATCTTCGTCTATGTTCCGAACATAATAGGTTTGTGATTTTTGTTCCCAAAAGAAGAGCTGGCCTTCGTTGAGGACCGAGAGTTGCGAATGAACGTATGCCGACTTCGTCAAATAGCCGAATGCGTCCCAATTTGTCCCGAACACCCTGTAGGTCTCAACAACCACCAGTCACACAACAGCACAAAACGGGAACTGGCCAATGAGGAAACCAGTCAGCAATATCATAATGGCGGCCGTAGCAACAAAAATCGCGGGCTAAAATCAATAAGTCCAACTCGCAACGATTATAGTAGTAGTAGTAGTAGTAATAATAATGCAAAAAAAAAAAAAAAAAAACGAAACAAAGATAAAATCAAACGATATCACAACAGCGACCATGATAGGGGTCACGAGAATATAATAACATAATCATGGTCATAGTCGTGGTAGAAAGATAAATCAAAACAATGAAGTCGAGGAAATTTTCAATAAACACAGAACGACCTCAACAACTATATACAGTAATATAGAGTGTCCTATTAGTGGCAGGAACAACGAGCACAGCGCCTGCATGTGTTTGTTAGCTATTCGTTAAGATCTCAATACAATTGCGCATTGAAGCATTGACAGAGGCTCATGCGTTGACGATACGCTTTAACGGAAGTTTTTAATCACGGACAAACATCATTGTCTTTACAGGTTGTTACCATCATAAACGGGAATAGCCGAACTAAGGCTCAATGAGAAGAGCAGGCGTAAATGTTTGAGGGTAAACGACATTTTTTTTTTCAATATCAAGAACGTTCTATATAATAGCAGAACCTAGCAAGCGGTCATTGATAGCTAGCTCCGAATTAGTGATCGTCTTTTGTGTCGCTTTTATCGAAAAATGGGGTACATTTTCCATGTAGTTCTTCAATTGTTTCCACCTCATAGACAATCTCTCTTCCGTATAAAATAATATAGTTGTGAAGCATAAATATCTGCACTAACATGTCATAATATTTGGCAGTGTTTGTCATAACGATCATTTTCTTCGCCTCATAAATACGTATGTTCATTCAGCGAACAAAGACCAACATGGAGGACATCAGTGCTTCGGCTGCTGACTGCATCCCATATGGACAACTACAGACTAAACAACCTCCTTCTCACGAGCCTCATTTTATTTTACCTAACGATATGTAGATAGCTTCGACGCTGCTACGACAGCAGAAAGGCATAAATGTTGAAACTGAAGATATAGTAATAGAATTCTAAATTTGTCTATTCTTTCTACAGATATAAGCATGCGCACGGTTACCCAAGTAAATGAATAAACGAACGCTCTCAACATCAGTTGAGGTGAGCTGAGGTTTTTATTATTATATCGTCTTGAAACTAGCGCCATTGCCATTCAATGTTCATTGTTATCAATGATAAGTAATAGCAGTACTTATAGTGGTTGTAATAGATATCAACTCCTGATTGCAACAAACAACAGAATAGATATTAAATGCCGTCACCATCAGCAGGGTCATCGATGCAACTATTAGACTCATACTTGCGCCTATAGTATATATTCTTCCAGCAAATCTAGCCCGCAATAAGCCGCGCCATTGGACTATACCGAGTACTTTATGTGTGAACTTCAGCGTGAGCTTCAGAAGATCGACGGCAGCGGTAGCAGGAGACGCAAAACGAGGGAAAGCAGGCGAACGAAACAGAAAAACGGGAACGCAATAGAATTTATTCCCATAGGAAAGCGTAAACTGGAGTGGAGAAGTTAGTGTGTATGCGGACGAGCACGAGGAGCCAGACCCAACCTGGTGGCCACTATTCCTGTGCTGGGCTGGGCTGGGCCGAGCTGAGCTGAGCTGGGCTGGGCGATCAAAGCAAAGTCTCTAGCCAATATTGCTGTGAGCGGCGCCGTCAATATCTAGTGGCCAACTTGTCGGCTAGGCCTCTCCTTTTCTCCATTCATCGTCCGCCTTGTGCAATTTTCTCCTTTTCGTCAAAATTTTGCTTTTCTCCATTTTTTTTTCTGTCAGAATATTTAGTACTTTACGCCAAATATTTCTGATTCAATGAAAAGCCAACGACATGAAACCGAATCCATTTAGGGTTTGGTGAAACGAGGAGACGCCGCGAAGGAACAAGCGACGATGATTATGACGGCAGAACAACAACAACAGCGACGATGTGTGCGAGCAGCGAGACATAGGAAATGAGAGACGTCAAGACGCTGATCGCAGCTCAAAGCTGAAGGGCAGAGATGCGCGTACACGCGGCCGCAGCTTCAAGGGTAGCAACGGTAGCAACGGGAAAGCCAGCGGCGACGGCGGTGGCAGCAGCAGCTGCTGCGGCGGTCGAGCAAGCGCGTTGTTTAGGCATTCCCCTACTGGAAAACTTACACAGCCCGACAGCTTACATGGCTAAGGCTCGTGCTGAAGCAGGAACCCAGCCCCGACAGCCGCCGATGGACGGAGAGGGCAAGACAACGAAAAGAACATTTTAAAAACTAGCAATCAGCGCCATCATCACCATCATCATCATCATCATTTTCGCTGACGACGTCAGAGGTAACAACATCATGATTCATATTCCTCATATTATGATTATGATTATATTGTGGTATTATGGTTTCGTTCGACCGAACCGACGATAAACGAGCAAGCCCAGCTTTGTTAGCGGCGGCGGCGGCGGCGGCGACGACGGTGGTGGTGGCAGCGGCAGGAGCAGAAATCACGGCGGCCTGCACCAACGGCAATTCGTGGTGCTAGCTCTAAGAACAACAAGAGCAGCGGCAGATTTGGCTACGGTGAACAAACGAGCGCTAATAAAAATTTGGCTTAACTGCACCTACTACAATTGCTAAGGTCAATCTCTCGTCGAGGACTCAGACGGGTTGGCCGAGGCTTACCGGTCATCGCCGGCGTTAGTCCTTCCATCCATACGTCCATAGCGAAACCTGCGACGACGAAACTCTACGACAGACAATATGGATATTTCAGTACTGAAAGATATGGGAAATGAGAAAACGGACTAAAGACAAGGAGAAATAAAGAATCTTACACACAGACACGATTCCTTTAGCGCTGCAACTACCGTACGATAGATGGGCGATGCTATTGTAATTGCTGCGGCCGTCTCCGTTACTGAACCACTGCTTTGCCAACCACTTCCATCAGATCTGATCCGAAGACAAGTTTGAGGCAATAGGAGCATTGTAGTAGTTGATTATAATGCTAGTGATACGTAATGGAAATATGGTGAGGGGTAGAAGGAAGGCCGTAGGTCAAGCATTTGGCTTTATGGCGATTTGTCTCAATGTGCAGCTAAAAGCAGATATGTCCACACACGCACAACTATACATAAACAATGACGCGTCTATCGGGTACAGAGAATCACCGGACTCGTGGCTGAAAACGACTGTCTTTAGTAAGGTTAGAAGATGGTAACCAACCATTCGGATATATAGGCATGCATTGATTTGTGCTGACTAGTGCAGCTAACAGGTTTATTTATATTCTGGTGGAACTTGCAGCGGAATTGGACAAAGCCTTTATTGACCACTTGACACACAAATAGAACATACTCCATCTAGCAATATATAACCAGTCGTCTCAAGGTGCTAGAAGTTAGTGTTATCATGATCATGGAGGAAGTTGATCATAATCTTTGATCGAGAACAATTATCACCATTTTAGAAAACCGTGTGCTTCTTTGCGGCTAAAAAATTAAATAGGCAATCTTATTTTTCAACCAATAGTAGAATCTCAAAACATTTCGGTCTATACTGTTATTGCTGCGAATTATAATTAAATATTGACCAAATAGCAAAAGTATTGAGAAACCTAAAAGCCCGAACTTTGAAGAAAAAAAGTAGGACACCATTTACTTGCTTGAAGAAAATAGCTCTTTTAAAAAAAATGTGGGTTTTGGGTTCCTTTCCCATAAATGTTTCAAGCTTTGCGTCCGCTCTTAAGCCGTTAGGCGTGGCCTCAAAGGGCTACCCTCCCTCCTCCCACCCCACCCCCGGGCACGAAACAAAGTGTGTCTATATATATATATATATCGGATTCGAACCTAAACCGCCACGTGTTTCTGAGATCGGTAGGAAAAGACAATACCGTCACACAAAGTCTTTCTGACAAAGAAAAACTTCGACTTGGTATCAAGTGCTATAACACCCACGCAAGATAACTCATCGGAAGATTTCACCAAATGAGTTGGGGGCAATCTAATTTTTTCTATTTTCCTTCACACAAAATGTCCGCTTACCAAATGAATTCAAAGAATCGATTCGTCCCTATAATCACCCTATGTAGGGTAAAATTAGACATATCACTCATGAAAATATGGCAAGCCATTGTTTAAACAGCATACATTTCTTAATACAACTGGCTAATTGAACAATGACTGAGCAAGTGGGTGCTTAAATCTGGTAGTAGCATTTTTCGAATGAGGTTTCTGGCTGGGATCCAATGGCGTAGGACACATCTAAGCTCTACCTTTATATAAAAGGGAAAATCTCTATGATTAGGCTTCAAACGCGAACAGTTTTGCTGAGTTATGCAGGAGCTGGCAAATTAACGATGAAGTACTGAAATAAACAAAAACATAGAAGCGGCGAAGCCAATAAAAATAAGGGAACTACGTAGATCAATCGTTACGTTTGACACGATGCTTCTATGAAACTATGAATTTTAAGGATTGCTCGTTTTATGAAGGTTCATTCATTTTCGTGAAAGATAATTTTCAAGTTTTACAGGGAGAGAAGTTTTCTCGTAGAGCACTGAGAGTATTGTTGACAATCTACGTGTACGTCGTTAAATGTTTTATTGCTATACTTTGAAGCTATATTTTAGGATTATTATTACCATTATGATTTAAAGAAGTAAGACAAAGCTAACATTTCCTGAGACAAATCAATGAAATGATTCATGCCAAAGAGGTATGACGCCGGCAACGGCAGATTGCATCTTACTAGAATAACATGCGAAATTTGTGATAGATACGACATCTGTACTTACTGGGAATTAACATATGATGGCTGTTGTGTTTATGCAATTGAAAGATCAGTATTTTCACCGAGAGAAATTATCGCATATTAGACAAGATACCTACTGAAATAATAGTTCCCATAGAAATACATGTTATGGTTAGAAAGCTCGTTTCCAATTGGTTCGCCGCAAAAACCTCTAATGCCAGGACGTGCACATTTTCTTTAATAGAGAGTCTCACGTAATCGATCATCACCGGTTCGTTATCTGTTCATCTTTAGCTAAAAAAACTAATTGCATATCCGCCGTACTCAGCCATGTTCCAGTTACTCTCGATTTACTCTCGATGCGCATCAGTGTTGATCTACGTCGCTCACGTCCTCCTCTCTCTCGCACATTTTCTCCGTCATCGTCAACGTCACGCTGCAGGAATCGTCATCTTTGCCTTGCCCATTTTCATCGGTTGCCCTACTCCTTTTTTCTTTTTGTCCCTCAGATCATGTGCGATTAGCCTCGGACGACAAACAGCCCGAATTCTACTGTGCAATATATAGATGTACATATAGGCTGTTCAGTCTTGCTTTGGTAGTTCGTTACGTTAATCTGATGTGGTGCCTCCCAAGGATACACATAAGGAACGAGGACTACCTATATAACATAGTGGGAACAAGCCGATCGGATCCGTACGACCGACCGACTATAGCAGAAGCAACCGCTAATAACTGCGATAAATTTATCAAGAACATTAGCATCAGCAACGTGTGAATTTGTCGAAATTTGTGTCTGTTTTTACGTGTCCGTGTGATTATTTGTTCTTGAGCAAATCTCGGTTTAAACTGCATAGCGCACAGATAGCGATGCTGGCTAAGAAATTGACGGTGATGAACGTGAGGGATAGTTACTTCGTCTGCTCCTCTGCCGAATTCTGGTCTAGAAGCAGCAGGTAAGAAAGCCAACAAACCACTGGGTTGCCGTGTTGAGCTATGTCCTAAACAATCATTGAGACTAACAGGTCGTGGAAGATCAATTTTTGAGTGAAACTGAGCAAGTAGATTATTTATAGAAGTTTTAGGGCCGTCCCGTCAACCTGTTAACGGATCCTTTCTCTCTATTAGTCGTCGGCACGACCGACGTATCGATTTCGCTATCTAAGCTATTGATCCACGGTGAAGCGTGTTGTTTTGCCATATCCTAAGACGAGTTCTGCCAGCCACCGTTATGGCTAAGATCTGGCAACTTTATGGGAACTTAAGTCAGCTGGAAAAACGAGGCCGTGTTTAGAACTGAAGCGACGCAGCGGAAATACCGATTGACAATATTAATGGCGTAAGGAAACGTAAACTGGTGTCATCCAACAGTACATGCACGGATTTGCAAATACGAGGATTTATTCGCAGGCTTGGGACGCAATCTGCAGAACGCTTATAGCAGTGGCCTTTGTCCAAACGGCTGAGCTCGTATCACTCATAGTAACTTGTAGCTGCTTGAAGTTCCAGCATTTGATCAAGGTCACTTAAGAAGAACTGGCCGATCTTCAAAATACAGACGACTGCATAGCAGGCGACTTTCCAAGCTTTGTTAAACGTTAACCTCTGTCGCTGACCAGCTAATTTTCCCGACGCTTGAACCATGTCCAATATGCCTGAATATGAGCTGAAGACAAAATAACGCCTTACAATTTGAATGTTCTGACCTATATAGCCATATTCGAAGCTAACACAACGCTGCCTAACTTATTCCGGCGCTTGAAATACTTATAACTACTTAAATG